TAAAAACAAAAGTAATAAATAGTTTAGTCATTTTAACTTTTTTTTAATTTTTTTATTTTGGAGGGTATTAATTTTTTAAATTGGACATTTAACTTTAATATTATTATAATTATTTGTCTTGAAAATAGTAGACAGCATAAAGGTATAAAGCAAAAAGAATAAAGTACAAAGAATTAAAATATGCCTTTTACCGCTAAAAAGAAAACATTTTTAACACCTTATTTATTGTGTAGATTAAGCGCTAATCCTTTTTAAGCTTTGTTAATTACAATATATATATATATATATTTATTTATTTATTTATTTATTTTCTATTTTGAGTAGGGTTTTAAAATTATTTCTAGAAGTATTTTCCAAATAAATAAACATGATTTTTTTACTACAAAAATACAATACAACGAGTATTCTAAAACGCTCAAAGAATATAAAATAAAACATTATTTTTTGTTTAATAATAATAATAATTATTATTATTTTATTTTATTTATTTATTATTTTATTTTTTATAACAACCTAACAGCATTTCAAGAGTTTCTCAGGATGTTAAAGCGCCGGTTACTGAATAGAGGTTTCCACATCTTTATAAGGAATATTTCGTTTTCTACTCCAACCAACGTGTGATCTCACAGTTCACCCCCTTGGAGGCTCGGAGTTCTTGCTGTCACACCGCCTGATGTCTAGCTTTAATACAATTTGTAACAGTTTAATCCCGCCGCTAGCAAATATTGTTCGCTTTTGTTCGTTATGTATTGCCGTCAATTTCATGGTTTTAAAACACGTCTACTAGAGAGAGGCTACTGATTCATTTCCCGCTCTAACAAATATAAATAGTCTTTTTTTTTTTTCTTTAAATAAGTATAATGAAAATTATGGAAATGATATCTTATTAAAAAAAAATGAAATGATTTAGCATGATACTAATTAAGACCAAAAGCCTATAAAAAATGAGACAAACTCCAATTATATCTAATTATACACAAAACTTAATTATTAGAGGAAAAAAAATTGCAATAAAGGAGTTAAGACCAACCGGGTCGGGATTCCAATTTCGGATTTGAAATATTTTTGAAAGTTCAAGAGTATTATTGAAATTTTTGAAAGATTCGAGGTATAGCACTAGATACTCTTTTGAAGTGCTAAGCTGTGCTCGATGTATTCACTATATAAATATAATATGCATACTCGAGAGTTTGATATTGTTAAATAAGTATATTGATTTGATTCTATCGAGACTTGAACTCGGGTGGATGAAATGAAAATTTTAAAATTAATTATTGGAATATAAAGATTAAATGAAATGTTTTGTTATTAATTAATGGGTTTGTTAGAATAAAGGAATATGATTGTTGTCGGGGAAAGGAGGAAGCATGGATTACTGGTATGAGTGGTAGGCTCACCACCAGACATCCTGACCCCATCGCTTCTTCTCTCTGTGCTCTGTTTTTCATCCTTTCCTCTGTTTTTCAATACCTTCTTAATCCCCTCACCTTCTTCCATTCTCTGTAACCTTCCTTCTCTAATTCTTTGTTTCTTCAATGGAATGTACTTTGGGCCTTTTCCGCACTTCTGGCGTTGGTGGGTCTGTTTCTGGGTCCGCCATTAACGATCCAAATGAGTCTAGAATGGAGATTTTTGAGAAAGATTTTGTGGGTAAGATTCCGATTGAGCCATCTCCTTGTCCTGCCTCTTCTGGCCTTGAATTGGGCCTTGGTTTAGCCGTTGGCGGCTGCGGGAAGGTTAGCGGTGGTACTTGGGGTGAGCGTGGTCGGATTTTGACTGCTCGGGATTTCCCTGTTCTTGGTGGCTCTTCTGTTTCTTCTTGTTCTTCCTCTTCTTGTTTCCATGGAAGAGAGAGTAATGGTTCTGTTGCTGTTTCTGGGACTAAACGAGCTGCTGATTCTGCTCCTAATGATGGAGGATCCCCCACTGCTCTCAAGTTAGTTCTGATTATCCCCTTTTGTTTGTTCTTATTAGCTATAAATTTACTGAAATTAAGATTGTTGCAAGGGAGTCCGACGTTGGCTAATTTAGAGAATGATGATGGGTTTATAATTAAGGAATGCGTCTCCATTGGCATGAGATCTTTAGGGGAAGTCCAAAGCAAAGCCATGAGAGCTTATGCTCAAAATGGACAATATCATGTCATTACGGAGTTTCGTGATTCCTAATATAGTATCTAACGTAGTCATGTCAATAGAATTCTCAAGTGTCGAACAAAGAAATTTCTAGCCTTGAAAGTGAAGTTGAAAGTGACTCATGTATTGAACAAAGGGTGTACTTTGTTCAGCGCTCTAGAGAAAGAAGTCGAGCCTCAATCAGGGGAGACTCTATGGTGTACTTTGTTCGAGGGGAGGATTGTTGAGGATGGTTAGGAATATATCTCTATTGGTATGAGGCGTTTCCCCTGGGGAAACCAAAAGCAAAACCATGAGAGCTATTGCTCAAAGTGGACAATATCATGGACAATATCATGCCATTGTAGAGGTTCATGATTCCTAACATGGTATCTAACTTAGCCATGTTAATAGAATTCTCAAATGTCGAACAAAGAAATTGCTAACCTCGAAGGTGTAGTCAAAAGTGACTCATGTGTCGAACAGATGGTATACTTTGTTCGAGAGCTCTAGAGAAAGGAGTCGAGTCGAGTCGAGTCTCGATTAAGGGGAGGCTGTTTGAGAGCTACATAGACCTCAGGAGAGGCTCTATAGTGTACTTTGTTCAAGGGAAGATTGTTGAGGATGGTTAGGAATATATCGCTATTGGTATGAGGCATTTTGGGGAAACCAAAAGCAAAACCACGAGAGCTTATGCTCAAAGTGGACAATATCATACCATTGTGAAGAGTCGTGATTCCTAACCGGAAAAACGATGGATTAATTTAGACTTTTGAGTTGTTTTCTGTTTTCTGATGAGCTTGTTGTAAATGTTTGTTTGAAAATGGAAGCAGTCAGGTTGTGGGATGGCCACCCATTAGGACATACAGGATGAACAGCTTGGTGAACCAAGCAAAGACAGCCAGGGCTGAGGAAGATGAGCAGTCCAAGGACAACAAAACATGTGATGTTGATGGAAAAGGGCACCTAGGATTTGTCAAAGTGAATGTCGATGGTGTTGTCATAGGGAGGAAAGTGGATATCAATGCCCATTCTTGCTATGAGACCTTGGCCCTTATGCTGGAGGACATGTTTTTCAAGTCCGATGGTTAGCTCTTGAAATTTCCAGGAACAAATATGTTCACTTTTTGCTTTGATTTATTTGTATTGTCATGCTGTTCTTCAGGGAAAAGTGGAGACAAGGAACAAGGACAGAAACTGTCTAAGCTTTTGGATGGATCCTCTGAGTTTGTGCTGACATATGAAGATAGAGAGGGGGATTGGATGCTTGTTGGAGATGTCCCTTGGAGGTATGTTTCTTTGTAGTCTAGATCTAATATCTATGTCGGGTTATGATCAGCTATATCGATGCCCGGATGCACGGTTTCGACTCTTGGTTCTAAAAGCTGAGCTAGTTGGATGAAAATTGGCATACTTAGTTCCCTTTAGTTCATGGAGTTCAGTCTATTGTGTCTTACGAACGAGGAAGATAACTTACTAAACGGTTTGAGATTTGAGAGGATCGTTTGTGTATCTGATTTCAATTGTTTAGATCAATGCATTGTTGGCTCTTGGTTCTAAAGTCTTGCTATGTTTTAAACATTTAAATTATTTGAATTGTGTCCTGTCATGTCCCATATTGGTTGGAGAGGAGAACAAAACACCCTTTATAAGAGTGTGGAAACCTTCCCCTAGCAGACGCGTTTTAAAGTTCTTGTTTCTAAAAGTCTTGCTATGTTTTAAACATTTGAACTGTGTCCCTGTGATGTCCCACGTTGGTTAGGGAGGAGAACAAAACACCGTTTATAAGGGTGTGGAAACCTTCCCCTAGCATACGCGTTTTAAAGTCTCGAGGGAAAGCTCAAAGAGGACAATATCTGCTAGCGGTGGTTCTGAGTTGTTGTAGTCCCACTTTTATGTTGTTCTTACAATAAGTTCATGACTTTCATTGATTAGGATGTTTTTGAGCTCTGTTCGAAGGCTTCGCATAATGAGGACGTCTGAAGCCAACGGACTAGGTATTCAATAAGCTCTTCTTGCGCTCGATTTCCTATCTTGTGCTCGTTTTACATGTTTCCTAAATCTAGCTTCATTGCAGCACCAAGATCTCAAGACAAGAAAGCGAAACAAAGGAGCAAGCCTATCTGAAAACCGCTACTATATGGCTCGGCTCGGGTACGTCCTAGATATACCCGAACGTGAAAAATGCACAGTTTGACTAGAGAAAAGAAGTAGAGAAGAGAATGAGAAATGGATTGCTGTGGTTTTTGGTTTCTTTGTTGGGTTTAGTTTTGGTGTTTTGGGGTTTTGTTTTGGGAGGTTTGATAGGCCATATGATTTTACCATACAAAAGTGTATACTTTGGGTGGATGCTTTCTCATACTGTACATAAGGGAACAACACTTTGATTGATATCTATGGAGCTTTGTTTGTTGCAATCTGTGGAGCTTTGTTCCTTGTTGATATGTAATTGTTTATGATTGGCTATGATATGTAATTGTTTATGATTGGCTATGACGGGCGGTGTGTACAAGGGCCTAGGTACATATTCACCACTGGCTAAGACGGACGGTGTGTATAAGGACTTGGGTACATATTCACCACTGGCTGAGACGGACGGTGTGTATAAGGACTTGGGTACATATTCACGACGACATGTTGATACGCGATTCCAATGAATTCCAACTTTATGTTCTCGAATTGTAGAGAACAATTAATTGTAGCATGCGTGTTGTCCGGCCCATAAGGGCCATGCGTAATTGATGTCGATCTCCAACTTCCTCCAATTTGAAAGGCTATTATATATGGTTGGAGATGATAGAAACAAGAGAAAAAGGAGTTAAATCAGTCCCGAGAGAGTGTGCCAATATGATCTTTAATGAGGTGCGGGAATTTGCAACCCGAGACCCCATGTCCTCTCTTTCCTACCCGCAACCCAAGAAGTTGACTTTGCCAACACAACATTAGGGTCGTCCTCTTCATTCTATGCTAACTCCGGCCTCGGGTTGGCTCCAAAAAATCATACCATCTCTTTGTTAAAGTGAATAATTGAAAAATTAAATTCTAAGACGGAGGGATCGTACCATTTGAGCCTTTTTTCATGCTTTTCTCGGGGGTCTAGAGAAAGCTGCAAGGATTATCCATTAATATATTTGATAAGACGGAGGCTTGTATCATACTTCAGCTAGAAATTATCATTCGGTCAATCTCGTGATGAAGAGATGTCTTTTCCAATCTTTCACTAAGAAAATAAGGGATAATAAGTGAGCGTTTGAATGAAGGGTTAGCTCTTTCGATCCAAGTGACACCGACACGTTTCTACATTTAAAATAGTAAAAAAAATGCAAAAAATTATATTTTATTCTAAAAAAAATTCATCAGAGGAAATTTCAGCAAAAATTTATCAGCGTTGAAGCAATTCTGCAGCTCTCCCTGTTCCTCTTCATACTGAAGACCTTGAAGGAAAGAAGAAGATCAAATTCTGGTTCAATATTTTACACACTAACCGTCGGCTCGAGCAACTCGACGCATTATACGTACCCGTTGAACAAAATCATCAGCTTTTGGCATTCAGTTTCTCAAGGAGGATCTTGTTTAGAAGCCCAGGATTTGCTTTACCTTTGGATGCTTTCATTACCTGTAAAAAGAGATTATTGTTTAAATATGTGAGCGAGGAAGAACAAGAACAAGAACGAGCAAGGACGGATTTATGATCGTGGTAAATTAAGTTTCGACTAGGATTCGCCTTCACCTGGCCAGCAAAAAAGCCTTGCAGCTTGGTTTTGCCACCGCGATATTGCTCGAGCTGCTTCGGATTCTCTGCCAATACTTTGTCCACCATTCTTTCTATCTCAGCAGGATCTGCAATCTGCCATTACAGAACAGCCAGAAACGAAGATCCTTTCGGTTCGTTATTCATATCGTAGTGTCGTTATCAAGTAAAACTATGAACCAGATATCCATTGCCTTCATTCCTTTTAACAATTAGTCTATATGATGTTCTAGTCCAAGGCTCAATCTTGTGATTGAATTGCATAAACCTTGCTGAGGCTACTATGCTAGTATATCTTTTGAGAGAAAACGAGCTGCAGTATATACCATTGTTAAAAGCAAAAATTGATGAACTACATTCACTGAGCAATGCTACACAACATGAATTATTCTCGAGTGGAAGTAAAAGTCTAAAAAACAATCAATTTAGCCACACGATGAGGCAAGCTCAAGTAATGATAACATGAAAGATACCGCTAGTAGATATTGTCCGCTATGGCCTGTTATGTGTTGCCAGCAGCCTTACGATTTTAAAACACGTCTACCAGGGAGAGGTTTCCACACCCTTATAAGGAATGCTTCGTTCCCCTCTCCAACCGATATGGAATCTCACAATCTACCCCCCTTGGGCCCAACGTCCTCGCTGGAACACCGCCCGATGTCTGGCTCTGATAGTGGAGCACGTGTATTGTTTTTGTTTTATGTCGAACAACCTGAAAGGCGTAGATACCAGTTGTGTGAGATTACTTACATTTATAGTATCAGAGCTAGACACCAGGTGGTGTGCCAGCAAGGACACTTGACCCCAAAGGGGTGGATTGTGAGATCTCACATCAGTTGGAGAGGGGAACGAAACATTCCTTACAAGGATATGAAAACCTCTCCCTAGCAAACACGTTTTAAAACCATGTGGTTGATAGCAATTCGTAACGTGCCAAAACGGACAATATCTACTAGCTGGTGAGCTTGGGCTTTTAAACGAAGGCAATGGATTTTTGAGATTAAACAACTTACCTGAACCAAATCCTTCTCTTTAATCATCCCCTTTACAGTTCCACCTTTAGCTAGCAACTCGAAAAGAATCTATACAGCATATGGAAAGAAAATGCATCAATAAGAGATGTTAACATTTAGACTAGAACCAATCAACAAATTTAAGGTACCAGTAACACTTTGAAGAACATTTTAAAGAAGTCCTTATGCAAGAAGAAAAACTTACCTCTTTCCCGATCTTTCCGCTAATAGTACCGCTTTTTATCGAAGCGATCAATTCAGCAAGCTCTTGGGGAGTGAGCTTTATGTCATTTATAGCCAACTTCTCATTTTTCATGTAGGCAGCAATATCACCCATTATCCAATTCGCAGCCAGCTTCACTTCGGCCCCCTTTGCAATAGTTGCATCAAAAAACTCAGCCACCTACGATGTCATGCAGCCAAAGTTACTGAGAAAGTGCAAAACTAATCAATTTTCATTTGAACTTTGGCTTGTTTTCCTTATAACTTTCCAGAACTCAAGGACACAAAAGGCCGTAACAGCCCAAGCCCAAGTCCAAGCCCACCGCTAGCAGATATTGTCCTCTTTGGACTTTCCCTTCCGGGCTTCCCTTCAAGGTTTTAAAACGTGTCTGCTAGGGAGAGGTTTCCACACTCTTATAAGGAATGTTTCGTTCTCCTCTCCAACCAATGTGGGAACTCACAATCCACCCCGTTTGGAGCCCAGCGTCCTCGCTGGCACACCGCTTGATGTCTGGCTCTGATACCATTTGTAACAACTGAGGCCCACCGCTAGCAGATATTATCCTCTTTAGACTTTCCCTTCCGGGGTTCCTTCAAGGTTTTAAAATGCGTTTGCTAGGGGGAGGTTTCTACACCCTTATAAGGAATGTTTCGTTCTCCTCTCCAACCAATATAGGATCTCATAAACATAAGGAACGGGTAACAGCTAAGGGCATTCCTTCTAATTCAACTTAAAAGTACTTTTTTTTTTGCCTCTACTTGCTGCGAACATTTGCTCCCTTCTTTTTAAGAAAATTCCTTTGAAGCCGGAAACTTCCCCTGTGAATTGCTCTCCCACCTTTCTACAAGGTGTTTTTAGAGTTAATCAAATAATGGTTGCCATTATAATAACTTCATTGCAATACCCAAAACCAACTTATTGAGTGTGTATAAATTCTCAGGTAACTCACACTAATGTCATTTGCCAGGAAAAGCACGTCCTGCATGCTCAGTCCCATACTCTCGTATCTTCTACGCTTCGTTTCGGGAAGTTCAGGCAAAGAATCACCGATATTCTCAACGTATTCTTTTGTGAGGATGACTTCTGGAAGATCAGGCTCTGGAAAATATCGATAATCAGAAAGTCCTTCCTTTTTCCTCATTGTAATTGTTTTCTAAGCAATAATACACAGGTGAGCACATGAGTTGACAATAATAAAAAGAAATCATCATAAGTTATGCCGATGATAATCGAGTGTACGAAAAAAGTACGAAAAACCTGAGCGCCTTCTTCCCAGAGTCTGGTTTCCTGTATAATTTGATCACTTTGGCCTTGACTATGGAGAAGCACTTGTCTTGAAATTTCAAAATCAATTGCTCTGCTCACTGATGAAAATGAGTTCAAGTTTTTTATCTCCACCTGCAAATCAATGAGTGTGATTAAATATATAATAAGACTGCACAATGCAATTAGTTTTCTCCTACTCACCATTAAATTCTTCTTATCCTCACATTTAGTCCCTCTTCCCCACAACTTCTCACTTTCAACAACTAACTATTGTTTGAGACACTTCGATCAATAGACCAACGAAAAGAAGTACACATAGTTTCACAAACATAAGTTCAAGTTGTATGCGCTATAACAATCGAATCAAAGTAGCGTACCAGCCCAAGCCCACCGCTAACAGGTATTGTCTTCTTTGGGCTTCCCCTCAAGGTTTTTAAAACGTGTCTACTAGAGAGAGGTTTCCAGACCCTTATAAAGAACGCTTCGTTCTCCTCCCCAACCAATGTGGGACCTCACAATCCACCCCCTTCATGGCCCAACGTTCTCGCTGGCACTCGTTACCCTCTCCAATCGATGTGGGATCTCACAATTCACCTCCCTTTGGGGCCAACGTCCTCGCAGACACACCGTCCGGTGTTTGACTCTGATATCATTCGAAATGGAAACCCCAAAGAGGACAATATCAACTAGTGGTGAGCTTGAGCTATTACACTAATTATTGGTGGTTGATAATTATAAGGAAGCCAAAGAATAATTGAGCCTCAACCACCCATCCAACTAAAACGTAATGACAGGGGAAAAGACGATGATCGAGTCATTTCATCCAATCAAAAGATGCTTCAAAACTTGCAAGGTTTCAACAATATTCTTGCAGAGTCATACTACTGAGACTACCTACCAAATCATGAAACACTTAAGTGTCTTCGAAACAATACTTTTGAGAGAACTAAGCTACCTTTGTTCCAAACTGTGACTGCCCAATAGGACGAACCGAGACATTCACATCACACCGAAGCGAACCTTCTTGCATGTTTCCATTACTTACACCCAAATATCGAACCAACTTCTGCAATTCTGCAGCATACTCCGCAGCCTCAATCCCAGTTCTCATGTCAGGTTCAGAAACAATCTCAAGCAAAGGGACTCCTGCTCTGTTTAAGTCAACCTGCAAATACTTTAAACAATCAATATAACAGCCAAGGACAATTATTTCAACATATATACACATAAAAGCACGCCATAATGAAATTCATTTATTGAATCTGTTAAGACCATAGGCTAAGATATTTGCTTGAAATAAGGATCATAATAAACATAAGATGGGAGATTCAAACTTATTTCCTGAGAGTAGCTTCCACTTTCAGAGTGAAGCAGCTTTCCTGCATCCTCTTCCATGTGAACCCTGGTGATACCAAACCGCCTATGCCCGCCACCATACTCGAGAGGAAGATCAAGATCAATATAACCGCCGCTCGCAATTGGAATATCAAATTGAGAGATTTGGTAGCCCTTAGGAAGGTCAGGGTAAAAGTACTGTTTCCTATCAAATTTTGAGTTGAAAGATAACCTGCAGTTTAGTGCAAGACCCAACTTCACCGCAAACTCAATCACTTTTGAGTTCAAAACAGGCAAGGCACCTGGAAGCCCCATACAAATGGGGCAGATATTAGTGTTTGGGGAAGAACCATAATTGTAAGGACAGCTACAGAAGGCCTTGGTGAAAGTGGAGAGCTGGACATGGGTTTCAATACCAATAATTGCTTCATAGTTCTTGGAAATTTGATCAATAATCTGTTTATCAAAATGTGGTGAAATCGCTGTAGGCCTTTTCTTTTCTTGAGTTGCTGTTTGGGATTGCGAGGCTTTCACAGAAAAATACAAAACTCTCCTCCTTTGAGTAAACAAAGCAGCAGGGTGAAGCAACAAAGATTGAGATCGAATGCATCGCAGTGCTGCAAATGCCATTTCTGTAGTGCCTAATCTTCTTCCAGCATCAAACAGTTCAAGAACACAGCTGCAAATCAACGAAAACAGCTAAAAATGAAGAACCCCATGAAGATTTCAAGCTTTGAAGGCAATTTAAATCAAATTAAGAAGCACACATCATAAGCGGGGTACGAAACAATGCAGCAGAGAAATTAAAACGATATCAATGATAGAAACAATCAAAGATTCACAAGCAGAAATGAGAACAGGAGAATAAAAGGGGATGTTCAAAGAAATCCAGACTAACCCAAATGAAAATCTGCCGCCGGCGCGATCAACTTCCGCAGTTCGACGTGGGTGCTTCTCTTAAAGAAACATCGGCCACCCTATCTTACGGCTTCTCACTGAAATTCCAAGGAGCCACCCAGTTACCACCATGAGTTCGAGGAGACATTTTCATTTTCCCTATTAAACTTATTTTAAAAAATAAATATATAAATAATTTTAAAAAAAATCTACTAATTTAAAGAAATTTTATTAAATTTTAATATTTTCTTTATGATAGAAACGATAAAATTAAATTAAATTATTACTTATGAAAATTTATAAACTAAATTATTACAAATTAAAAAGGAGGCAAGTGTTACTTATATTTTTAGTCCAGGCTTAACATTATATTTCTATACTTTTAATTTTTTTAATATTTAATTTTAGTCATTAAAAGCTAATAACTTTAATAATTATCTATAATTATATTATTTGTTTTCAACTGGAAAATAGCTCAATAATAATTAACAAATTTCCTGCTCCGAAGAAAATAAATATCTTAATTAATTTGTAGATAATTTTAGTTGTGATTAAAAAAAAAATTTGTTTGACTTGTGGTCGATGTTTAATCAAAGGAATTAAGACATTATTTACTGTATCACCGTCAGCCTCACAATTTTAAAACACGTCTACTGAGGAGAGGTTACCTCTTATTTTAGTGTGTGCTTCTGGAGGAGCACGTATGCAAGAAGGAAGTGTGAGCTCCCCTCCCATGTTGATAATCCTGCCCTCATTTTTTTCGTGGCCATATCTTTCGTTTCATTTATTATAGAATAATCACAATCACTTTTTACTTTTTCCATACCTTTATAATGAATGTTTCTTTTCCCTCACACAATCCATAAACATCGGATCAAATTGGAACCATATAGAGAAGATTACCATGACCCTAGTACAAGGACGGCACACACAAATCAAGAAAAGGTATCATAGCTATACCGAATGGTGTGCCAGTGAGGATGCTGGGTCCCGTTGGAATTGGTTGGAGAGGAGAACGAAACATTCCTCCTTAATAGACGCGTTTTAAAACTTTGAGATTGCCGACGATACATAACGAGCTAAAACGGCAATACTTACTCGCAGTAAACTTGGTAGAGCATAAAATGCGATAAAAAGATGAAGGACCAATCATATATCTATTGCACCATTTATGAACACAAATCCATATCTAATCTAAAAGTGTTAACAAATCATATACCTTCCAGTAAGTTGGAAAGAGCATAAGATGCAGTTATGTTTGTAGTCGTGTTCTTGGGAACAGAGAGAACTCACACCTCACCTCCCACAATAATGAGACATAATTCTCTTTATTCTTTATTCTTTCTTCTGCTGCCATATCATCATCAAACCACACACACAACAAAAGAAACCACTTTTCAGCCTCACTGGATAACAAATCTGCACCGTTTGATCAACTTCGAGATGCATTCCCAGAGGGGGTTCGAAAAGAACCCCATTGACAAGTGTCCTAACACGTGTGCCTGTAACAAAGCATGCAACACAGATGGTCTACACGTGTCTGTAATGTCCGAAGCTTTGTTCCCCTATATATGTCTCATTACTACATGCTCTGGTCGATGTGGGAATGTATTAAAAGCTTTTGCCTTATCTGCTTTCGGTTTGTGATAATATCATCATCATCATCTTTGCAGCTGTTGTTTATTTCTGGTTTTTGGAGACAGGAAAGATGGCTCAAACCATGGGAAGGAACATGGCAGCTCCATTGCTGTTTCTCAACTTGATCATGTATTTTATTCTGCTTGGGTTTGCTAGTTGGTGTATTAATAGATACATCAATGGCACAACCTACCATCCTAGTAAGTTTTGCTTTTCAATGTTTGGAGTCTTGCATCAAGTTGTGTAGTTCTTGGTGTCTTTTCAACCATGTTCTTTTGATTATTTGATCATTTTCCGTCCTTGAGAATGTACTTGACAGTCTACTTAACAAACTCATCGTTGGTAGATATTCGTCCTTTTTGGACTCGCTTTCGAGCTTTAACTTCGAAGTTTTTAAAACGAAAAACGCTTTAGGTTAGGAAGAGATTTTTACATGCTTTTCCCTAAGGTCTATAAAACCTTCTTCCAAGGAGGAATGTATTTTCACACGCTTTCTCAACTTTTTTTAAGGATACATTTGCTGCGGAGAGATTTTAGGATGCTTTAAAACGTGTCTAGGAAGAGATTTTCCCACACTTTTTTTCAACGTCTTTAAAACATGTCTTCTGCATGCTAGGGAGAGATTCTAGGACGTCTAGAAAGAGATTTGTAGACTTTCACACGCTCTCCTCCTTAAAACACATCTGCTGGGGAGAGATTATGTTTGTTCTTAGTGGGAAAAAAATGCAAAAGCTCTCTTAAACACAAATTGTCAGGTTTTACAAGCATAATTATGCTAATCATGACCTATGCTTGGATTGTTCGGCCTCATTTTTTTTTTTTTAACCCAAAGAACAGACATTGACGGTTGTTTTTGGACTGGACAAGGTATGGGAGGCAACGGAGCGACGCCGTTTTTCTTGACATTTGCAATGCTAACAGCAGTTATGGGAGTGGCATCAAAACTGGCTGGACTCTACCATATCAGAGCTTGGAGGAGCGACAGCCTCGCCGGCGCAGGATCAACTTCATTGCTCACTTGGGCTGTAACTGTTCTAGCTTTTGGGTAACTTTCTACAACTTTCACAACCATTTCTCTTCTTTTTAGAGAAGTAATTCCAAGATTCCTTTTCACTTCCCTTTCCGCAGCTTGGCCTGCAAGCAAATCAGCATAGGAGGCCACAGAGGGTGGAGGCTGAGAGTTGTGGAAGCTTTCATAATAATATTGACCATCACCCAGCTTCTGTATCTGCTCCTGCTCCACGCTGGGATCTTCAGCCGCCGCTACGGCCCTGGTTATTGGGATACCGACTATGGCATGGGCGGAGGAACTGCAGTTCCTGGAGAGCCTCCCAAGGGAACTGCCGGGACCAGGGTGGTTTAGAACAGATGGTTGTTATGTATGATATCAGTTGGTTTGTTTTTCTCCTGCTTTGTTTTCGTGGAAGGACGCATAGTTTCTGGTTCTGTCATCTCTTTCAAAACCTCAATGTAGGATGTTTAATAAGAGATTGGGATGTTTCACCTTGAAACAAGAGCAACACTAAACCAATATATGTAACCAATAATGAACTGCCATTTTCATAACAAGAAGATAAGCCTATATAGAACACTAATTAATAAAATGCAAAACGCCGTTGAAGGCGGTTGCAACACTTTCTCAAGTCTAGAAGGATTGAGAAATAGAATTACCTGCGATATCATCTTAAGGGTGAATCAAGGTTGTTCAATCATAATCATGAAGCACATTTATCGGTCCCATAGGCCAATCCAACTTAAAAACTAAGAACGGTGGCTAGTCTAAATTTCGGGAGTAAGAGAACTACATATTAGACAAAAATTGTGTACTAAGTACTACTCAAACGAGCATTGCTTGGTAATTTGTGAACTAAATACTAACACTGCCAAAGACGTACATTCTCGAACTAATAATCTTTAACCTGATGCTGATCAAGGGAAAGTGTCAACAAGGGTGGTAACTGATTTGATTGATGAATTGGGTCCGCAGATTTTGATGTTAAAATGACGCCCCCAAACATATATGAGGCGAAGGTTATCAAGGATGTGAATAAATCAACAAATTTCATTTCCAACCTCAAAAGCCAGAGAGCAAAACTGGGACAGAAATTGTAAAGGTTGCACTTACTTCTCTTCACTTTTATCCGGTGCTTTCGTTGATGAAACCTTCCTTGCGACCTTCGAACCCAGGGCGCATAAGTTTCTTCTCCCTCTTGGCAATACGTTTCATCTTCTTATCATGGATTTTCTGAGCTATGTTTCCTGATCTCTTTTGTTGTCTTTCTGATTTCATCTTTTGGGTGGTTTCAATCCTTCCTTTCCATTTCTCAATACTCTTCAGCTGCTGTTTCTTTTCTTTCCGTAAGCTCTTCATCAGACGCTGAGGATCATCATGAACTTTAACCCCAGCAGCTCTACTTGTTGCTGCTTTCCAAGAATGCTTCTTCAATATTATCTCGCCCGTTTCAGGGTCCTTCTTTGCTTCCTCCAACTTTTTTGCCTTTTCAAGCTCCTTCAGCTTGGAGAGTTTTCTCTTCTTACTCTTGCCGTCCTCTTCTTCAGTTCCTAGTTTAACATGACCAAACGCAAGTTCTTTGGTGGCCTCCTCTACGTTCCTCTCCATTTCGACCCTTGATTGGGTAGTGACTAATTTTTTGTCCTCAGACTCACTTTCTCTCATGCGCTTCTTCTGGAAAAGTTCCCTTCTCTCGTTTCTTTCATTTCTCTTCTTTTCCCTGTTTGAACATCCTGTATTTCTATTCCCCCGGAACTCCTCAATTTTTCGATGAAGCCGTTGTCTAAGTTCTTCATATGTCACTGACCGGTCATCACCACCCAACCCAGATGCCATTGGCTTAACATCCTCTTCATCACCATCACTCTCATTTTTCAACTTTTCATTTTCTAAGCTTTCTTTAAGCAAATCAAGGGTTGATTTAGAAGACTTTTCCGGATCCATTCGATCTCTTCGTACTTTCTTAAGGTTTTCCTTTGATTCCTTCTTAGCCGTTGCCTTTTCCGTCTTGCTAAGGCCCTGAAACCAAGGTTTTTCTTTTTCATCAGTAGGTAAGTAGAACCTCGCTGGGATAAGTTCCACTAACTTGTCAAAGAACAATGCATGCCCATGGATAGTGGACTTCAGATCAACGCCGGAATTAGAAACTGCGGCAGTCTTCTGCTTTTTCTTCTTCACCTGAAACCATTAAATAAAAACGGGGGGGGGGGGGGGGGGG